CTCTCATCAGAACAGTTAACGGGGAACTAAAATTATGAGGAAAAAAAAAAAAGTCTGTCATGGATGACATGAGTGGACGGGAAGAAAAAATTATTATAAAAATTATACCAACAAAGATGCTAGAAGTGCAGCACAGCAAGTTCAAGCAAACAATCTCTTTGTTTACAAAGAGAAGGTTGCCTGGACCTGATGTAAAAAATCTCCAACACCTTAAGATGGAATAATGAGTGCGAACTGGCCAAAGCGGAAAACCAGTTCACACTGAAATCCATTGCACAAGTGGGATTCTTTATAAAGTGATCCGCAATCGAACACCCATACGTGTTACGAATGGTATTGCCCAAAGAAAAATTTTTATTCAGTATTAAAGCAGGTACATGTTGTTTAATTCTAACATCCAACCGCTGTGTCGTTCTACCTATGTAGTCGCATCCACAACTACATTTGAAATGGTAAATAACAGAATTAATATGGTGGTGGTGGTGGGGGGGTAGAACATCTTTACACATAGATGAAAGTATGGACTTAGTTTGAAAGACAACACGAATGTTCACTGCAAAATAACACTCGCGTGAACTACATGAAATACACTTGGCGAAGGATTCACTAATCCTACTCAACCACGGTAAACGAAGATAGACCAGACATTTACCCACTGAAGCAGGTTTGATTTTGTTGAACCTGACAGTCTTATCTCGAATAAATGATTGAACAATATTCAACGGATAACCATTGTTCACAAAGATCTCAGTTAAACAACTGATTTCATGTTCAAGGTGTCACCCGAACAAATCATTAACGCCCTATGTGCCAGGGTCCTAATCAAATTTATCTTTGTCATTTAGGACAAAAAGAGTCCTATCAAGTATATAGACCTGTAAAAGTAAACTTCCTGTAAACAGAGGTAATAAACGAGGAAGGCGTTCTTTGAACAAGAACATCTAAGAAGGCAATGAACCATTGACCTCCTTATCTACTGTAAATTTAAGGGCAGGATGAACACTGTTGAGTAGGGAAAAAATTGATCCACTTCCGATTCATGACTGAACACACAAAAAGTGTCATCCACATACCGAAAGTAAACATTGGGCAGGGCAGAACCTAACAAAAGGTTTTCCTCAAAAACCCACAAAAATATTTGCCAACACAGGACCCAAAGGGGAACCCATCGCTACACCATCGATCTGACGATACATGATATTGTCGAAACTAAAATTGACAAACATGGTGG